GCCTCACAGGTTCCCGAGGAAATGAGCCGGTGTCGGAATTCCTATACGGAGCAAGAGCTGAAGCCGCTCACGCTGGAAGCACTGGGACGCCTGGGTAGCGAGGAGGCCGCTGACTACAAGCACTTCCTCCAGGACTGCATGGACAGCCTGTTCAAAGAGATCAAGGAGAAGTTTAAAGGGTGGGTCAGCCACCCCACCGCTGAGCAGGCCGAGCTGTCCTACAAGAAGGTGAGTCTTCGCCCTGGGGTTGGCCAGTGGAGCTGGACATCTGGGGCATCTGGGGGTGACTCAGAGCCCCTGAGTCAGGGCGGGTGCCACGGGTGAGGACGGGCAGTCCTCTAACCCAGGAGGGAGGTTCACACTGCTTCTGGGGAGATCCCTGGGTCCCACGGCATCACCCTGGAGTTCCCCGGAGCATTTCACTCACGGTGTCGCGCTTATGGGCATCTTACGGCAGGCACGGTTCTCTCCGTAAACTGGGTCAGGAGCCCCCCGTGCTCTCCTGTGCTCTTAGTCCGTCTGCGCTCAGCCTCTTGGTGAGCAGGAGGCAGGAGCGCCTGGGGGAGAAGTCAGCTGGTGAGGACGGAAAGCCCCTTCCGGGGCACAGGCGTCCAGCCTGGCTCAGCGTGCTGGACCCACGGGCAGCGCTGCCGCTGTCACTGTTGCCACCATCATAAGCAGAAACAGTGAGATCCGTGGGGTGGCCATGCTGGCTTTGGGGTGTGTGGTCTTCATTCCGTTCACCCTGCTGGGGACCCAGGAGTCATGCAATGCTTTTGACCAGACCTGACCCCAGCTATTCTGTCGCCCTTTTGTCTCACTCTTGAACAAACTCAGGGAGCGCAGTGCCCAGGTCTAGGAGTGTAGGGATTGTCTTAGCACTGAGCCATGGATGCTCCCTCCTCATAGGTGAGTGAAGGACCCCCTCTGAGGCTTTGGAGGGCAACCATCGAAGTCCCTGCTGCACCTGAGGACATCTTAAAGCGCCTGCTGAAGGAGCAGCACCTCTGGGACGTAGACCTGTTGGATTCGAAAGTGATTGAAACCCTGGACAGCCAAACAGAAATTTACCAGTATGTGCAAAACAGCATGGCGCCCCACCCTGCCCGGGACTACGTTGTGTTGAGGTAAGAGCTCCCAGATGGTTGGCAGCAGGGGCAGCATTGAGCCTGCTCAGATGCGTGGGTTTTCGTTTTCTTTTTAATGCGCCGAATTCTTTTAATTCTGTTCTCCACGAACTTTTTGAAGGACGCTCTTACGTCACACTGCACCTTATGAGACGACAGTGTTATGTAAAACAGAACGCGTGCCCTCAGAAAAATAACGCAGTCTCCTACGCACACAGGCCCCACCTGCTTTGACTCCAGCCGTACTTTGCTCACTGAAAATGGTTCCCCTCTGGGCCCTGAGCTCAGACAGACAGGCACATTCAAATGTGGCTGCTCTCTGGTCGCGGAGTTTTGCCCCTTTTAGGAGAGATTTTCTCATTAGAAACAGCTAGCAAGTCAGTGAGCCAGGAAATAACATTTGGATCCCAAGTGAGATGTGGTCAAGGCTGACTTATGTAATCCGTAAAATCTTTGAGGAAAGTCACTTTTTTTTTTTCATTAAAGATTGATTTATTTCAGAGTTGGGGAAAAGGGGAGTAGGCAGGGGCAGGGGGCAGATCTTCCCCCACTGGTTCACTGCAGGTCTGGGCCAGGGTGAGTCCAGGAGCTGGGAACTCCATGCTGGTGTCCCAGGTGGGTGACAGGGTCCCCAGGACTTGGGCCATCTTCTGCTGCCTTCCCAGGCGCATTAGCAGGGGCCTGGATAGGATGTGAAGCAGCTGGGACTCAAACCAGCACTGCAAGTGACAGCTTAACTCACTGCACCAGCCGCAGGGTCACGTGATGTGTCCAGAACTTTGCAAACACAGCACTGTTCCTTTGCGTGCCCGCGTTCACATTTTTGTGAAACCAAATGGTTGTCAGCTGCATTTGAGATTGGTTCTGTTTTTGAAGAGGTGACTGTACACGTTACGCTCTGTAGGCATGGCTCGGTGCAGAATGACTCCCCAGGGAGTCTGGGGACAGTGGTTAAGGGGCTGCCACTTACCCAGGCCTGGGTCACACGGCCTGAGCCCTGGGCCTGGCCCAGCAGCTGCCTCTTGTAGGAGTGGGGCAGCATTTTCCATCTGGCTTCCAGGAAATCCCATCTTTTTCTCCTCCTGGTTTTGCCTTTGCAGAACGTGGAGAACTAATTTACCCAAAGGAGCCTGTGCCCTGCTACTCACCTCCGTGGACCACGACCGGGCAGCTGTGGTGGGCGTGAGGGTTAATGTGCTCTTATCCAGGTATTTGATGGAACCCTGCGGGCCAGGAAAATCCAAACTCACCTACATGTGCAGAGCTGACCTGAGGTACGTTCCGATCCTGACTTTCTGACATGTTGAGATGCAGGCTTTGTATCTGCTACTCAGCATAGCCGCTTAAGTGACCACAGACAGCACCATATACAGGGGCTGCATGAAGACAGGTGCTTGTGGGTAACACCATTGTGTTCATTGCTTGTTCGGGCACCACTTCCTGCTTTGGATCCCTTAGGAAATGGGACACTAATGCAGTATGAATAAGGTGGTTGTGCCATGAATTTGAAGCCACAGGAAATGATGTATTCTGTGCCTTTGAACTAGCAAGCAGATGTTTCTTATTTTACCTTCAGAGGCATTTGAAGAGTGTGACATGCGCTTTAACAGCTGATTAGGCCATAAGTGAACATGTATTCAATCAGAACATAAATGAAGTGCAGAAATACAGACTCCAAAAAAAAAAAAAAAATCTGGAAACTTTTTATTTTTAAGCAAGTTCTTGTGTTAAATCCTCATTTGAAATCTTGACAAGTTGGAGGTTCTCCAAAGAGCCACCTGATCCACCAAAGCTTTTCCTAAACAGTTTCACTCAGTATCTCAGTATGTTGTTCCTGGAGACACTCGCAATGGTCAAGCCAGAGACTAACCTGGGGATAAGCATAATCTTTGTACACATACATGAGGCTCATCAAGAAATAGAACTGGCGGGGGGTGTTTGACCCAGCCATTAAGCTGCCAGGTGGGGTGCCTGGGTACATCACCATCCTCTGCTGCATGCCCTACGTGCCTGGGAGGAAGCAGGTGACAGCTCAGGTGCTTGGGTCCCTGCTGCCTCCACGGGAGACCTAGTTTACACACCACGCTTTTGGCTTCAGGCTGTTCCAGTCCCAGATGGTGCAGGCATCCACGGAGTGAGCTCTCTCTCTCTCTCTCTCTCAATACATCAATAATTTTTTATTTTGAAGAACGGAATTGTGTTCAGAACTCTTTTGAGGTTCTCTGAGTACTTTCTAACATTAGTAATTATCTGTGTTTCTTCTCTGTTACAGGGGCCACATGCCAGAGTGGTACACAAAATCTTTCGGACATTTGTGTGCAGCGGAAGTGGTGAAGATCCGAGACTCCTTCAGTAATCAGAGCACTGACTACAAAGACGGCAAATCTAGGTGATTATTGAAGCAAAGCAACTGTGTCCACCACCCAGATGCTGGTTTCGAGAACTTGTCAGTCCTTGGAAGAGTGGCTTCCGTGTCCAAGTTGGAGTGTAGACACGGACTATAGCAATTTGATAACACTTTCAAAGCTGCTTCCTGATTGTTTGAGGTCTGTGGTATAGACCTTGACTGGAATATATGACTGTGCAAAAAAAAAATTGCATTTGTATTCTTATTCAAATTGCTTCTGAGAAGCAAAACTCTTTAAGTACATTGTGAAAGATGGTGAGGATGTTTCCTTCTCTTGTGTACCTATGTCATTTTATTTGCATGTGTGGAGGGACTGGTGTATCCACTGGAAGAGTTGGTACTCTCACGAGCAGAGCAGGGTTTGCACAGAGAAATTTGGATGTGTGTTTGTTGCTGGTTGAATGGCATAGATGTGAAAGTCGTAATGCAGTGTCTGGCACACTGAGACGCCTCCAAGAAGGACATTGATGTATCAGGTTCAGTTTGACCTGGAATATCTGACTGCCCAGGGATTCATCCGGGAAGGGGACCCAACCCCCCTGTCCAGGTATTGTTTTTGTCCCATGTTGTTAAGCATATTCTTTCCCCAACCAACCTTTTCTTGACCTTAAAACTAACTGTAGGCCCATTTTCAAACACTTTGTTTTGAGATCTCATTGCAAAGAGAGCTGAACTTTTAACTAGTATAGGTTAGCTCTGTCCCTGCCCCCTTACTGGCTAAACCACAGGGTTTTGTCCTTTGTTTTCTTCTTTTGGATTGAGATATAAAAGCTAAAGACTCTTTAACAGTTACTCCTGAAGCAAGCATCAAAACTTTTTGTCTGCTGAAATTCTCGCCGTTTTTGTGTTTGTAACAGAAATGCTTTATGACATTATGGATGGAACTTAGGAAGCTGTCCTCAGGAAATCCCTGTAAATTTAACTCAGCCATGAGGGTTTTCCTTTTTTAGTTACTGTTAGCAGCTTTCCTGAAAGTCACACATGTTTATTAATTGGGTTTATCCTTATCAGCAAAAAGGTTTTCTGGTCTTATGACATTTTGTTTTGTCTCTCTTGTGTTTTTTCTTTATCTTTTCCTTAATAGTGCCCTCGAAATATATTGTAGCGGTAATGGAAGGTAGTACTCTTAGTTTTAAAAAAAAAAGTACAGTTGTTTTTTTTTTTTTTTGAAGGGCGGTCTTTCTACAGGTTTTACTGTAATGATAAAGATTGACTCGAGACAGTATTAATAAATTTATTTTGTATGGATCAGAAGTGAATAATGTATGAATGAGAGTTGTAAGAAGGATTTTTATTTTGTTATAATTTAGTTACCATTGTCAGTGTTATTTCAAAGGTTATTTGAAGAATGGGGGGGGTCAGGTTAGAGCTTTACAATTTGAGTATTTTTGAATATCAGTGCTCCTCTTCATGAAGATATACTTGTATATTCAATTTGATGGCTTCTGGGTTTATAAGATTGTATGTTGTATATACCATTCTATTAAGAAACATGTACACATGTCCACTGTGCTTTGAAACATAGATAAAGCATGATAAAGATTATTATTTAAAATATCCTTGTATTTATACCTCAGATATTCTTTTGGGTTTTGTACCTCAAGGCTTTTCCCCCTCCCTATTGTAAATACACTTTACATAAATACAGTCTAAATGGAAAAAAATAAATAAAGGAAGAGGTTTATAACTTGCTTTATATCTGTACAGAATATAATCAGTACGTGCACTATTAAATGTTTAAAGGAAGGGAAACGTCTGGCCTGCTTTCCTTTGTTTTGCATCACTCGCTCCCTTAAAACCACAGATTGCAAAGCGCAGCACTGTAGCGTCAGCGAAAATCAGAAGGTGAATTCGTTGAAGAACAAGTTGGACTGTAATCATTCCACAGTCAAGCTGCACCGGAGCAAACAGGAAACGCTGGGAAAGGTTCAGGAAGCAGAGAGATTGTCTTCACACAAAGGGCCCCTTGGGGAACCATGCTGAGAGCAAGCAACAGCTGAGAGAGGTGCTCCTGGGCAAAGCCAAGGTCATGCTTGCTTTCACGAAAGATCTCTTTCCTACTGTTTGGCTCTCCTGTGGAAAGGATTTAACAGGAATTCAAAGGATGAATTCTGCTTGGTCACCTGAAGCCCTATCACCACGCCTTACTTGACGAGTTGCCTAGATTGTAAGCTCTTTGAGGGCAGAGCACAATTCCTACACTTCTTGATAATCCCCTGCTGCAGCGTTCTGTATTCTGTACTTGTAGGCACCTAATAAATTTATTGTTTCCTAAATCGAATGGACTGAATTAGCTTGTGTTATTTCCTTGTGTTATTTCAAAGGGAAGAGGCCGCAGAATGCCTTCTGTCTTAAACTCGCACTTGGCTGCCCCTTGCCCACTTTGAGAGCACAGAGATTACAAAGCAGTGGGTTTTTTTTTTGTTTGTTTGTTTGTTTTTTTTTTTTTTAAGATTTGTTTGAAAGGCAGTTACACATAGAGAGATCTTCCATCCATTGGTTCACTCCCTGAAATGGCCCCAACAGCCAACCAGGAATCCCATCTGGGTCTCCCACATAGGTGGCAAGGGCCCAAGCACTTGGGTCATTGCTGCTTTTCCAAGCACATTAGCAGGGAACTGGATTGGAAGAAGAACTGCTGGGACTCAACCCAGTCGGTGTTCATATGGGATGCCGGCATCACAGGCTGTGGCTTAAAGTGCTATACCACAATTTGAGCCTCTAGAAAGATTTAAAGGAATCTTGGGGACTAACACTGTGGCATGGTAGATTAATCCTCCATCTGCGGCGCCGGCATACCATATGGGTGCTGGCTCGAGTCCTGGCTGCTCCACTTCTGATCCAGCTCCCTGCTAATGGCCTGGGAAAGCACTGGAAGATGGCCCTAGTGCTTGTGCTTGGGTACCCACGTGGGAGACCCGGAAGAAGCTCCTGACTCCTGGCTTCAGATCAGCCCAGCTTTGGGCATTGTGACCATCTTGGGGGTGAACCAGCGGATGGAAGATCTTTCTGTCTCTCCCTCTGTAATGCTGCCTCTCAAATAAAAATCTTAAAAACAAACTTAAAGGAATCTTACAGTTTGAACTGAAAAGGGTGACATAAATTGTGAAACCTTAAGGGTTCTTAAATTTTAACTGACGAAGGTGACATAGATACTGTGGCTACTGATTCTACATTAAAGAGTTCCCTGTGGTGAATTTGAACCAGCCTCACATCTTGCATACCATTTGATGTCAGATGTTCTGTGTTTAGGCACAGAAAGGAGAAATAACCAACCACACAAAATTTTTTAAAATATTTATTTATTTATTTATTTGAAAGTCAAAGTTACACACAGAAGGAGGGGCACAGAGAGAGTGAGAGGTCTTCCATCTTCTGGTTCACTCCCCAGTTGACCGAAATGGCCGGAGCTGTGCCAATCCGAAACCAGGAGCCAGGAGCTTCTCTTGAGTCTCCCACATGGGTGCAGGGGCCCAAGCACATGGGCCATCTTCTACTGCTTTCTCAGGCCATAGCAGAGAGCTGGATCGGAAATGGAGCAGCCAGGACTCGAACCAGCGCCCATATGGGATGCTGGCACTGCAGGCAGCGGCTTTACCTGCTATACCACTGTGCTGGTCCCACGAAATTTTTTTAAAAGGCACATACACCAAAGACTTAACATTTGATTCTGCTTCCAGACCTGGTTTCTTAAGAGTTGTATACAGATCCAAATATTTTAGGTCTGAATACCCAATATTTTAGTTGATCAAAGAGCTGTGAAGTCCTGAGTTACTGATCGATACATAAGGCTGCCAGGATGAAGCAGACAACATGACAAGATTAAAATCTGCCCTCACAGACACTAACGAAGTGAGGATGAGGATGAGCATGCTGCCCAAGTTCGTAGGCACCTGAAGGGCCAGCTGTGGTCTTAACAAAGCTCAGGTAATTGTTAAACGAAAAACATCCTATCTACCAATTTGTGGATAGAATAAATTGGAAAAGACGCAGAACTAGATGATCCTTTAAGAGATAGTTTTATTTTAGGGCTGCGGAGACAAGTTTTTGAAAAGTCTCAAAATTTATAATGATGTAAAATTGGTACTTTGCAACACTGATTAGGGGTATGGAGAAAGAGGAGAAGGTTATATGCATGTGGGATTGAATAGCTACGTTCGTGTGCCTTCGTGCCATTTCTGTTCCTTTTTCATACTCTTTAAGAACCAGAAATGCTGATTCCAGCCTGGGACACTGCTTCCTACCACCTTCAATGTGCTCATCTTCCTCTAATTAAGAGAGAAATTTGGGGCCGGCACTGTGGTGCAACAGGTTGACGCCCTGGCCTGAGGCGCCAGCCTCCCATATGGCCGCCGCCGGTTCGAGACCCGGTTGCTCTTCCGATCCAGCTCTCTGCTATAGCCTGGGATAGCAGTGGAGGATGGCCCAAACCCTTGGGCCCCTGCACCCGTGTGGGAGACCCAGAGGAAGCTCCTGGCTCCTGGCTTCAGGTCGGCACAGCTCCAGCCGTTGCAGCCATCTGGGGACTGAACCACTGGATGGAAGACCTCTCTCTCTCTCTCTCTCTCTCTCTCTCTCTCTGCCTCTCCTCTCTCTGTGTAAGTCTGACTTTTGAATAAATAAATAAATCTTTAAAAAAAATAAAAGAAATTTCCCAGTAAAAGCCAAGCCACCATGGCCTCTGCTTCAGAATTAGGATAAACTGGGAAACTGAATCCACAGCAAAAATCAGCACATTAGAATCCCAAAGACATTGAGTGTTTCTGGCTCTCTTACTGAACTGATGAAGAGGTCGAGAGAAGTAGCAGCAAAACTCTCGTTCAGGTTGATGCTTGAAAGACTTCAAAACTCTGTCTAGCAATTTGAATATATGATTTGAAATGTGCAAGTCTGTGTGTATGCTTCTTGTGCAATGGACGTTTCCCTCCTCCTGTTGCTTTTACAAGCACAGAACACGGAGACCTGTTTGTCCACCCACCCCCTCTGATCTTGGTTCAAGGTCATGTGTACAAGGGGAAGCTTCTATCTGCAGGCCGGTTAACTTGCAGCTAGGACCAAGATCCTGGTCTGGTGAGTCCTGCAGTGCCTCCTTGTCCTTCCCACCACACAGTACCATTAAGTGCTACTGAGACTGGGAGGTGTTTCGCAGAGCATGGGCTGTTCACACGTGAGGGAGTGTGCGTGAAGGCCCACACACTTTTCCCTCACCTGCCTGCTACAGCACACGTGAATGATTAGAAAGCAGAAATCCTAAGCAATGAGATCATGGCACGCATGTCATCTTGGTGTTCCATCAGGATGAAATTTGCCTCAAGGAGCTGAAATTCCACTGGCTTACGGAATGCAAATTACCAAAGACCTTGAAGAGCCTGTGGCAGGGAAAGCTCAGGGAGGTCTGCGCAGTTGCAATGAGTTTGGACCCATTCTTGAGGGATGATCAGTCCCTTTGCAGGCAGGAGTTTGCTAAATCACGTTGGCAGCTGTAGCCCCGAGTAATTACCCTAACTGTATGCACGGCTCCCATGAGAGCAGCCAGGTTGCCTGTCTGGACCCAAGGCCGTGCTGACACGTAAAGCTTAAACACCTCTCGGGGAGATTTTTCATCTCATTGGACTTTCCTTTTGAAAACAGGAGAGGGGACGCCTCCAAGTGTTGTTACTTATAGGGGACTGTCTTTTTGGTTTTTTTTTTTTTTTTTTTTTCTCTTTCTTACGAATTTAGAAAACTGAAAAGGAAAAGCTTTTAGCACTCAGGCTCATCAACCACAACAACTGACTTCAGCTCCCAAGGAGGTTGTTCCTGCAAGCTTTGTAGGTCACAGGTACTTTTAAAATAAAATGCATTTGGCCCAAGTCAGGAGGTCCTTGCTGAACCTCCATATACTAAACTGATAAAATGCCACACACTGAGATCTATGTTGACATATAGTTAAAAGCTCCTTTAGAGGTCATAGCAAATCTTTGAAGAACTTACTAGAGATAGGAGGACTTAAAGAAATCAAGTAGTAGGCCGGCGCTGCGGCTCAATAGGCTAATCCTCCGCCTTGCGGCGCCGGCACACCGGGTTCTAGTCCCGGTCGGGGTACCGGATTCTGTCCCGGTTGCCCCTCTTCCAGGCCAGCTCTCTGCTGTGGCCAGAGAGTGCGGTGGAGGATGGCCCAAGTGCTTGGGCCCTGCACCCCATGGGAGACCAGGAGAAGCATCTGGCTCCTGGTTTCGGATCAGCGCGATGCGCCGGCCACAGCGGCCATTGGAGGGTGAACCAACGGCAAAGGAAGACCTTTCTCTCTGTCTCTCTCTCTCACTGTCCACTCTGCCTGTCAAAAAAAAAAAAAAAAAATCAAGTAGTTACATAATATTCGCAAAGAGACTCAGGAAATTCTAGAGCAACACGGAACATTCTGCCAGTGATGGAAGTGTCCACATCTGCCTGCCTAATGTGGCAACTACCACAAACGGCCGTTGTTCCTGAAGAGCAGCGTGCTCCATCTCACTTCATTTTTGTGCATTTGAAGAGCTACATGCGATTAGCAGCTGCTGGGTTGGACAGTGTAGGTATTATTTGAAAGATCTAAGAATATTTCCAGGGGCAGCATTGTGGCGTAGCATGTTAAACTGGCATCCCATCCGGGCACTGGTTCAAATCCTGGCTGCTCCACTTCCAATCCACCTCCCTGCTAATGTGCTGGAAGAAGCAGCAGTGATGACCCAAGTGCTCGAGCCCCTGCACCCACCTGGGGGAACTGAATGGGGCTCCTGGCTCCTGGCTTCAGCCTGGCCCAGCCCTGACTGTGGTGGCCATTTGGGGAGTGACCCAGTGCTTGGAAGTTCTCTCTGTCTCCCTCTCTCTGTAGCTCTGCCTTTCAAATAAATAAATTTTTAAAAAGAGAATATTTGCAAGTAATCTAATCCCTCTCTCTTGTCCCCCTAGGTCATCTTTTAAAAAAAAAAAAAAAAAGAAAAGAAAAAAAAGCTTGGTAAGTATTTATAAAAATAAAACTGTCTATATATTTCAAGTCAGATACCATGCACACAGCATTCCACTAGCAACCGAGGCTAAAACTGCTTCTCCCCTAGCTTGGGCTAGCTTCTGGGTTTTTCAGTCCTGACGTTGGTGACCTCTTTTCTTTGTTGCCTGAGGATCCATTTGCCTTCAAAGCAGAGATAAGGATGCACCTGTCTGGGGTGGGTGTTTGGCCCCACAGTTAAGACGCTGGTTGGGACACTTGCATCCCTTTATCAGAGCACCGTTTATCAGAGCCCCAGCTCTGCTTCAGATTCCAGCTTCCCACCAGTGTGCACCCTGGGAGGAAGCAGGTGGTTGCCATGTACAACAGAGACCCAGACTGAGTTCCTGGCTTCTGACCTTGGCCTGGTCCAACCCCAGCTATTGTGGGCATTTGGGGAGTGAACCAGCAGATGGGAGATTTGTATATCTGTCACTCTCTCTCAAATGAATGAATACATTATTTTTAAAAAGATGCAAAGAGAATTCTCCTTGGCTTGCTGCAACCAAAGGGACCCTCAGATGTTGCCGTGCCACCAAGCACAGGTGCCCCTTTGTGGCCTGTGCCCATCCTTGAAGCTCCCTGTCTGTAGCCCCAAGGCTGGCTCGCATGCTGGGGAGGCTGGCTGCTTGCCAAGAGCTCTCAGAGTCTAGGGCTTCCTTCAGTGAGATTTTTTTTTTAAAGATTTATTTATTTGTGTGAAAGAGTTACACAGAGAAAGGAGAGGCAGAGAGAGAGAGAGAGAGAGAGAGAGAGGTCTTCCAGCAGATGGTTCACTCCCCAATTGGCCGCAACGGCTGGAGCTGCCCCAATCTGAAGCCAGGAGCTTCTTCCGGGTCTCCCACGTGGGTGCAGGGGTCCAAGCACTTGGGCCATCATCCACTGCTTTTCCAGGCCATAGCAGAGGCAGAGAGCTGGATCGGAAGAGGTGCCGCCAGGACTAGAACCGGCGACCATATGGGATGCCGGCGCTTCAGGCCAGGGCGTTAACCCTGCGCCACAGCGCCGGCCCCAAGAGATGACTTCTTGATCTGGGTTTGATAACAATGAGATGGCACCACCCAAAAGTCAGTACTAAGTACTCTGAGACAGATACTCTTCTTCCACGGCGGGTCTTCCCTCACCTTTCCCTCCAAGGACTCTTCGTTATATTCCTCAGCTTACCTCACCTTTTCTCACAGTCCCCAAATATTCAGCATATCACGCAGGCTAACTTACTAGGGGTAATGTATTACTGTTCCTTTCAGTATACGTATGATGGTGCTTCAAGTGTGGAAAATGGAATTAAAAGATGCATTTATTTTGATGACAAAAAAATGTTGAAAACCATGCATACAAAGGGTCTTCAAAATGTTCATGAAAATGCATATTGTGAAAAAACTGAATGGTTTTCAACAATTATGTTCCCCCAAATCCACATCATTTCATTGAATTTTTTCCACAAGCATTTTGCAATACACACCAAGCATACTCTATTTTCATTCATAACAGCTTCTCAAGGCTAGAACGCTCTTGGGACATACGTGTGAGATAATGTCTATTGGCACCTGATTTGAGAAGCAGTTTTCTAAAGATTTTAAAACCAGAAGACTGCTCAGGGCCATCCACCTCAAAACGCAGGTTGCTCACCCTCTGAAGATGTTGGCTAAGAGAATCAAGGGAACGAGGGATTTCACATCTGTCCCAGAGAAACCAGTTCTCACTTCCAAGGCTAGCAGATAGGAATATATATATATATTATACAAATAGATATATACATTTATATATACATATATATTATATATAAAATATATATTTATACTTTACCATTAACAAAGATAAGCCAAATTCTATTTTGTTGCAGTGCTTCAAAATGTGAACATATGGGTCGATCACTAACCAGCGTTCCAAGACAGCAGAGCATCCTAAGCTCCTAGTCCAGGGCTGGCACTGGAGTGCGGAGTCGGACCACTGCCTGTGACATCAGCCTCCCATGTGAGCAGCGATTCAAGTCCCAGGTTCTCCACTTCGGATCCACCTCTCTGATAATGCGCCCAGGAAAGCAATGGAAGATGGCCCAAGTGCTTCAACTGCTCCCACCCATGTGGGAGAGCCAGATGTAGCCCAGGCTCCTGGCTTCAGCTTGCCCCAGCCCTGACAGGTGTGGCCATTTGGGGAGGGAACTGGTGGACGGAAGATCTGTCTTTCTTCGTGTCTCTCCTCTTCTCTCTGTAACTCTGCCTTTAAAATTAATAAATAAATATTTTAAAAAGAAGATTAAGAGGAGGAGGAAGAAAGCAAAGTTCACAGACTACAAAGATGATTAAAGTAGAAGAAAGCTGAGTCCCTGAGATCATGGGCTATCTCAGAATATTTCACCCCAAGACCTAGAGTACTGAAAATGGAATGTTTTACTGTCTCCTTCCAGAGAGGGAAGAACATGCTAAATTTCTAGAAGGAAACCAACCTGATCAATGAGGTAAGACGAGAAGACAGCTTGTTTGTTGGGGTCTCGCATCCAGTTTTGCTTTTACCAACCTAATGCCACAGCCCTGAGATGCCACAGCCCTGAGATGCCACAGCACTACTCATGGGCTCCCCTTGTGGATGAACCCGCTCACTGCATGGTTCAGCCTGAAGTTTGGCTGCGTTTTATCGGCCCAGTGGCCATTTCTAGTCCAGGATTGCATGATTTCAGAACATAGCAGACCTCCCAGAGTAAGAAACCAATTTCAAGCCTGAAAACTCCATTTATTTACTTTAACCTCTTTCTAGTTTTCACTGATCCTAAGCTCTTTTAATCCCTAGAAAAATGCAGAGATAAAAATCAGGAAACGTAAGGAACAGTGCCTCCAAATAAAACAAAACCCTCATTGATGCAACAAAAGAAAGAAGCAGGACAGGAAGGAAACACACAGAGGAAGGACCAGTGCTGCCTTTCAGATTCCCAGAGCAGCTCAGGAAAACACTTCCGTCCAGACCACACCTTGCGTCTAGACACCCAAAGAGCCAGGTGCCCTTTCTTGCCTGGCCTCATGGAGGGCGCTTTCGCGTCTCGGTTCTCACACTGCTTCTTGGTCTCTTTGCTCGTGCTCTGGCCTTGGGCTCTCCTTCTGTTCCCTACTCCATGTGTCATCTTATTTAATCCCATTTACAAATGCGGAAAGCAAAGCACTGCTCCTCTAAGTGCTCCAGGGTCACATAAAACCTTGGACTTGGAACCTAGCCCGTGGTGAGCCCTGAGTCCACTAGCTGTCACCACTTCTGCTGTATTATCAGAGCCCTCATTGCGGAGCAGTGAGGACACGGACTCTGGAGCCAGATGCTCTGGGGTCAAAGCACCATTCCGATTTTCTGTGCATTCTCAGGAAAATCGTTACCTGACCTGAGTTTTCATGCGTGTCCATAAAATAGAGACACCAGTACCAAAGAACACAGGGCAGAGTCCCACACACTGTACACAGAACGCAAGTATTAGGACTTCTGCACTGATTTTATTCTTGTTGAAATATATGCCTAAAATAAATTATACACACTCCTAAGATTAAAAATTAACCAAAGTTAATACCGTCCAGGCTTGGGTGACCAGACACCGTGGTTAAGTGGTAAAGGCCTGGCACCTTCCTTTCCTTACAGAGTCTCCGGAATTCAGCAGCTTTGGCCCTAGGTGTCTAACTAGCTAATGTCAACAGACACACGCTGGGTACGTACTAGGAGGATACTTCAAAAAGTTCATGGACCTGAAAGATAAGTTTATTTTGAGGCAAAAGCATTTTGAAATGCAGGTGTAGATTTTCCGTAGCGCCCCTCTTCCAGGAGCTTTGTGAAGACCCTCGTGTCTTTGCAAGAGAGGGAAGCCACAGATGTTTGTCCCTTCTCTTCACTGGATGCTTTTTGGTCTTTGCAAGGAGGCAGATGGAAGCAGCATTTCAATCCAAATATGCCGCAGTGGAGACGCCACCCACAGGAGACCACGCCTGTGCTGGGAGTCCGAGATGATGGAGGACGGGAAGAGAGGCCAGAGGTGTGCTAGGCAGGGGCACCCTCAGGAGACAGTCAGCCGGCAGCAGCCTGGCCCGGCGGGGGATGGGAAGGGGGGCGGGGGAGGGCGGGGTGGTCTGGACCGGCATGTACAGAGGGCCTGGAGAGGCAGGCAGCATTTAAGGAATTTGAATGCCACCCAACAGGCAATGGGACACTTCGGAAAGTTTTGAAGGGCAAGTGCAATAGAATTAGATCTGATCTTTTAGAAGAGGAGTCTTCCAGCACTGTGGCATCGTGGGTAGAGCCACCACCTGCAATGCCGGCATCCCGGATGGGTGCTGGTTCGAGTCCTGGCTGCTCTACTTCCAGCTAATAGCCTGGGAAAGCAGCAGAAGATGGCCCCAGTGCTTGGGGCCCTGCACCCCTGTAGGAGACCAGGAAGAAGCTCCTGGCTCATGGCACAACCCTGGCTGCTGCAGCAGGTGAGCGATCTCTCTCATCTCTCTCTCTCTAACTCTGACTTTCAAATAATTAAATAAATAATTTAAAAAAAGAAAAAGAGTCTGGAAGCGGTGTGGCGGCTGGATTCAGCCTGAAGGAAGGAGGCAGGGAGAGCAGGACCAGGCGTCTGCCGAACTCAGCATGGGTCAGCAGCGCCAGAACCAAGACAGCGCTGTGCGATGGAGGGCAGGAGACGCAGGAACAGAGGTCACCAGGAGGCAGGAGCGCGGCTCTCGGTGACAGCCCATTGGAAGGAGAGCGCAGAGACAGGGCCCGTCCTCCAAACCCCAGTCCCGCAGCCTGGCTGGAGAGAGCTGCTGTCTGCGCCAGTTGAGATGAGGAAGGGAAAGTGTGGCGAGTCGAACTGTGAGCGCATGGAAGCCGCTGCAGGACATCCAAGTGCAGCTGTCCACAGGCCATGGAAGTATGGCTCAGGAGGACCAGAAAGAAGCCTGGCTCAGGCGTGGATTTGGAAGGGCGAACAGTCGCCGAGGCACGGAGAGGTTCTGGCTGCGGGGAAGAGCTGGGGCCACTCCCTGCTGCCCCGGGCCAGAGTGCGGCCAGGTGACTGCAGGTCACCTTCCAAGAGATTCCAGGGTCCTGACCCAGGGAGATAGGTGCCGTCCACCTCCTGGAACCTAAGAGCGTGTTTGGTTTGGTTTTTATCTTTCCCTTAACTCGATCTTTTAGGCTCCTGGATTCCTTCGCTTACTGGAGATAGTGAACTTCGTTTATGGTTCTCTTCTGGGCAAGGCCTCAAGGTTCCCTTGGAGACATGGAATGGGAGAAAGAATGACTATTAGCAACACAAAAACTTAGCTAGGTGAAGTAAGCGAGCATGTCCATACAAAAGGGAGAAATCGCACTAGACCATCTGCTCATCAGAGTCCTGAGCAGAGTTAGTGTTGGCTGGAATAAAGACATGGTTGGGGGCTGGCGCTATGGTGCAAAGGGTTAAAGCCACCGCCTGCAGTGCGGGCATTCCATATGGGCTCTGGTTCGAGTCCTGGCTGCTCTACTTCCCATCCCGCTCTCGGCAATGGCCTGGGAAAGCAGTAGAAGATGGCCCAAGTCCTTGGGTCCTTGCACCAGCGTGGAAGACCCGGAAGAGGATCCTGGTTTCTGGCTTTGGATCAGTTCAACTCCGGCCATTGTGGCCAATTGGGGAGTGAACCAGCGGATGGAAGACCTCTCTCTCTGTAGCTCTGCCTTTCAAATAAATAAAAAATAAAGACATGGTTGTTTACTTCAACATCTTCAAATACAAAAACAAAATCAGGCAAAGGCTGAGGCAGATCATGTCCTAGCACAATAAAGCAGTATGAATAAACTCTACTTTGTTGATTTAATAAATAATGGCTGGGCTGGCATTGTGGTGCAGTGCGTTAAGGTGCTGCCTGCAAAGCCAGCATCCTGTATGAGTGCCAGTTTGACTTCTGGCTGCTCCACTTCAGATCCAGCTCTCTGCTAATGTGCCTAGGAAGACAGCAAAAGATAGCCCAGGTGCTTGGGCCCTTGTCACCCATGTGGGAGACCCGGATGGAAGTCCAGGCTCTTGGCTTCATCCTGGCCCAGCCCTGGCTATTGAGGTCATTTGGGGAACGATCAGCAGATGGAAAATATCTCTCTTTCTCTCTTTCTGTCTCTGTATCCCCCTCTCTATCTGTAACTCTACCTTTCAAATAAATAAAACTAAACCTTTAAAAGAACAAATTGCCTTCTTCCCAAGTATAGTATCATGGCTTCCACTGGCAGATACTTGACATACATGGAAAAAAATTTCATGGAAAATGTGTATTGTGGAAAAAACTATGCATGCATTTCAAATTTATTTTAGAAAAATGAATGTATTTCATTTTTTTAGAAGTACTCCTATACATCCTAAATGAGATAGACAGAGCAGAGGTTTTGGATAATTATGAGAAAACAAATTAGGTTTGCTTAGTAAAGGCAATTTAATGAACATACATCCACTTTTAAGTTATGGTCTCTGGAGATTAAAAAACCAACATAATCTAAAAGTGCATGGCCGAAGCAGTTGGGATCCCGCCAAGAACACACTGAGTTCCTGGCTCCCAGGCCCACCTTGGGCCAGCCCCAGCCATTGTGGGCATTTAGGATGTGAACCAAGGATGGAAGCTCTCTCTCAATCTCTGTCTCTCTGCTTTTTCAAAAAGCAGAAGGAACACATACGCTGGGTGGTGAAGAGTATGGGAACGCACAGCAAGTGCTCAGGGCTTACTCATCGGCCTTGTGAGTGAGCTGGGCGCCCTCAGCAGCGCCACAGGCATCCTTTGTGGTGAACCAAGGAGCCTGTCTACCACCTTTCCCAGCACTTCTGGGAGCGAGGTGAGTGGAAAACTTTAAATCCTGCCTGGCTGACTGCAAGCGGTCCTTGCTGAGAATGCTCCTTTCAGAGCACCCCCAGGGTGGGCTCTGTTTTGCCACATTTTTTTGCCAGTTGTTTTGTTTGGGTTTGCTCTGGCTTGGGTCTGGGCCTGCTCCTAGACAGTAACCGCTATAAAGGCAAACAGTGCCTCCTTTCTTCCTCTCTGTGTCCCCAACACCTGACGCAGTGCCTCGCATATTTGCAGAGCTCCAGAAGCATGTGGCCCAGCACACAGACAATCTGTTCCACCGTCAGGTTTGCCCCTGAAGGCAGATCAAGAAGTGGCTGCCATTTCCTCCCAGGAGGGCTCCAGCTGCAGGCTCAGGAAAACGGTGGTGGAGGTAGGGCACGTCGTGGTCTTGATGTT